ACTAAAAAAGAGATTTCATTAAGTGAGTAAAAGATGCCCGGTACAAGTCGGGACCGGGCTCCCGATCGAGTTCATCTACACAAAAACGAAGAAGAAAGCCTAAATACTTCTTCGCAGCAGCATCGCTCGGCTCGGCCACGTCCTCATTGGGGTCGAATGGCGGCGGGCCGGGGTCGGTGACTTCATCCGGAAGGGTCGTCAGGACCAGCTCGAGATCCTCGCCCTCGAGGGCCTCTTGCATAAAGGCTTGAGTTTTCTCGCGCATCTTCCGCTGGCCGGATTTAAATCCCCAACGACCGAACGCCCAGATCAATGCCTCCCCGACCTTGGTTTTCCGAACCTCCCGGAGGAAATTTGTGCCGGACGCCTCATCTCGAAAGAGGAACTGCGCCAAATCCCCAAGGTTGGCTAGTCGGGCCTTTAGCGTCCTCGACTCCCCGAGAGCCTCCTTGGCGGCCTTCTCGGCCACTTCCTGGGCTCTCTTCGCAGCTCGGGCAGCTTTCTCGGCCGCATCTCGGTCCTCCTTGACCTTCTTCAGCTCGGTCCAGAGGTCGGTGATCTCCTTTAGTCGCTGCTCGGCGACCTTTTTTCAGAGCATCAGCCTCGTTGGCTAGCAATGCTCGACGCTGAAGGAGCTGGATCGCTCGGGAGATCTGCAAAACAAAAGATGATCGGGATTAGACCGAGCAAAGCCACTTAGATGAAAGTAAAAAGACGGAAAGTTCTTACCTCGGCCAGGTCGTGGCCAATCTTCTCGGCCACTTGGGTCGGGGTGAGCTTGGTCATATCCTCCTTGACCGGCCCGGCATTGCCGATCCCAGTGAGGATAGACGTGTCGCCCTTGATGGCCCCGACCGGGGGGCTCGGGCTCCGTTGGTTTCTCCGGCGCTTTAGGGCCCCGCTGTCTTCGGTGCCCTTCTCGGGTGCCTTTTCCTTGCCTTTAGGGGCAGTCACCCGGGATACAAGGACGTCTGAGGCGTCGACCACATAGCCTTCGGCTGTGGTGACGGTTGTTGATGCGCCTATTGGCCGAGCGGTCGGGATTTGCTGCTGCTTCCCGGCCGGCTTGGCCTTTGTCTTCTTCTTCCCGAGCGTGATTTTAGCTCGGGGGGCTCGGGGCGCTTCGTCTTCATCAAAACCTGCCATTTCTGCAAACAAAAACAAGAAGGTTATATTAAGGTCGGAAAGTGATTGGGAGTTAGGGTCGGGGACGGTCAGTTAGTGTTAGACCTTCGTTCTCCGCCTCCACCTGAACAGCCGCCCTTGCAATAGTCACGCCCGGCACGGGCAGGTACTTCTCCTCCAGGTCGTATCTTGGCGGCGGCAGTCGGGCTTCGTCATAACATTCCCTCGAGCGGAAGATCTTGTACTCGTGGATCTCGCTCGAGATCTTAGCAACGACGTCTTGTAGGGCCTTTGTCTCGACCGGCACCACTTGCTCCCGGTAGTGAGTGCTCCACACCCTCTCGACCGGGAGGATCCACGGGTCGTACTCGACCGAGAAGATCCTGTTCTTCCAACCTTTGTTTTTCTCGGGTAGACTCTCGATCGCGCACATATCCGCCCGGAACTGTATCATCAGAAACCCACCTCCATACTTGGCCGGTAGGGTCTTCACCTGATAGATGAAGTTGAATAACTCCATCGTGCACGCCACTTCATGCCGAGCGCAGATTTGTGGGAAACAGGCTAGAATCCTATGCGCATTCGGGCAGATCTGGGCTGGAACCACCCGGTAATAGCCCAAGAAGGCGGTCAGGAGGGCAGAGAAAGGTATCTGGATCGGGGCCAGGAGCAAGTCGTAGTGCATCCCGATCCACTTGCCATCATGCCGATCGATGACGTTCCCTATGCTCCGGCGGGTGTCAAAACGGACCCGGCCGGTGAGTAACGCGGAGATCTTGGTCGCTTCTCCCGTCGTTAGTAGATTTTCTTGCTGCTCGATGCTGTCCCGGTTCAGGAAAACGAACTCCCCGTTGGCCGGTGCGGCTGGGGCAGCCGGGTCTTCCTCGACCCGCTCGGGTGTTGCCTCCCGATCTCCAGTTGGGGGCGTTGCCTGTGGGTAATCCCCAATTACCCGGGTTGGTGTTTCCCGAGCAGCTTCGATCGAGCGCTGTCCGCTCGTCGATGTCTCCCCGCTTCTGCTACTCGATCCACTCGAGCTTGTTGACCCCTCCGAGCTGGACGACCTTTGTCGCTCGGAGGTTCTTGGTGGTCGTTGAACGACCTCTGGAGAAGATGCTTCGATGTCGATCTCCTCGCTGAGCTGTTCGACCGCGTCGTCGTAGTCCGCACCCGAGATGTTTTGGCTGTCTATGTCTGACATGTTGTCTTCCTAAAGGGCGGTCGGGACGTTGTTAGGGTCGGGTACGACCCGGTAGTGGTCGGTTAAGGCCCGTATTCGGTCATTGCTAAATAATGAAAAGCTTGAGAATAAAAAGCTAGAGGAAGAAGGACTTACCGATTGATTGCAGTTAGCTAAGAAGTGCTGAGGTGCTGGTTGTTCGATCGACTCTTAAGGTTGTTCGTTCGGGATGCTCCGATCGACTGAGAGGGTTGGTAGAAGTTCAAATGAACTCCATGAATGCCTATTTATAGGAGAGCATTTGGGCGGGAAACGGCCCACTTGCTTGACGCGACTGCTCCAGACTCCGAGGTGACCGTTGCGGTCGCAGAGGCGTGCAGAGGCCGACACGTGGCACGGAGGAATGACAGCTGTCCAGTCGGTTTGGCAGCGGACGTTTGGACTTCTTCATCCCGTCCCGTTTTTTCCCGGGCAGTCAAAAAGGCCCGGGCTGGGGGGCTCTTGGTAGGGAATACCCCGACCGACATGCCACGTGTTTTATTCTTGTTTTTGCAGGTTACAGGTCGGATATTCTTAGAAGAACCCGGTCGTGCCCGACCGGTGGAACACCCGACCAGCGTCTTCAATACCCGATTGATAGCCCTTAGGCGAGAGAGTCGAGAAGAGGCACGTGGCAGCGTTAGGCGGTGACATGCAAGGCTTACGGGGAGAAGACACGTCATTGCTACGTGGGTTACATGCCGGCCGCCCGGAATTGTGTCTCCGGCCTAGCGGATATAAATACCCGCGGCGGCAACAATGTACGGGACTTTTGGAACGATCGATAGGCTATTGTTAGAGCATCCCGACCGCAGCCAGTCGGCCCTCGGAATAGCCATTGTAGATTGTATTTAGATCCTTTACCCCGATCAATAAAAGATTTACCTGCTTTGATTGGACTTGTGTTATTTATTTACCGCTTACGTGAGAATTAACACTATCATTCTCATCACTTATAAAAGAAAATTATTAAATTGTGGCGTACTCATGGCCGACAACAATATCAATGTTTGATTTCGAGCTTTGCAGTTATTCAATAATTCCATCCCAAGTGGAATATTTGTTTTGAATATAGTACAAGTAGGATAGGCCATAGTGTCACACAAACTAATGAGTTATTTTAATTTTTTAGAATTTTTATTAAAATAGTTAAACTTAAAGCTGTGAATTTTTATTAAAATAAATATTTTGTGATAATCAATTTTTATTTTTGCAATACATAAATATATTTATAATTTATAAAAATATATTATATATTATAAATTTTTTAAGAATAATGTATCAATAGAAGTTATTAAATATTTATAAAAAATTATTCAATTTAAGTTTTAATAACTTATAAAATCTTTAATTTAAAATAGTTTTTAAAGTATGTAAGTGTTTGTCATATACAGTGTTGTAAAAATCGACCTAGCCTCTAAGACGTTCCACTTTCACTGTTAGGCGTCAATCGACCTAGTTTATATAAAAGTCTTAATTGAATACACCTACACCTTAGTTTGTTATCTATTTTCAATTCTTATTCCATTTTGCATTTCATTTTTGTTTAACAAATAAGATTACACTTTTTTATTTTATTTAAAATTTTTTATTCTCATTCCTATTTCAGTATATTAATTTTCACCAAACAAACATATACTTCTATTAAAACTAATTCTAATTACTAAGTATTTGAATTTGATTCTAATTTCGATTATGTTATTGGAACCAAAAACTTTCCCAAATTGATTTTTATTATTTACAAATAAGATTGAAGATACTTTTTTTTTTTGAACGTTACTGGCCTTATTACATTTTGAGACTTGAACTTGCAACATTCCAAATGGAAATCCAATCCGGGTATCATTAGACCACATAATTTTGGTGAAGATATTATTATTATTATTTTGTAGACTTTTGCTTAGCTTTCTCCTTGTTGCCCGTTGTTGGTGTTGGCCAATGAATTTAGAATTAATTTCACTTTTGGTCCCACGACTTTTGATGTTCTATCACTTTTGGTGCACAACTTTAAAATTTTTTAATTTTGGTGCCTAACTTTATTATTTTTATCAATTTTGGTCCTTTCGGCCAAATTGACAGCGAAATGTTGTTGGATTTTATATTTTTAGGGGTATAATTGTCATCCCAAGGAAACATCTTCAATATCTAAACAAAATCACTGTAAAATCATATCTATAGGTGTTTGATCGATGAGAATAATGGGGAAGACGGGCATAAACCAGACAGATTTATGGGATTTATAGTTTCGACCATTGGCAAACTCTTCTTTTCCTCTTAATATGATTTTTCTTTTGTTTAAATATTAAAGATCTTTCCTTGGTATGACGATTTCGCCCCTAAAATATAAAATTCAGAAATATTTTACCGTCAATTTGATTGGAAGGACCAAAACTAATAAAAATAACAAAGTTAGGCACCAAAATTAAAAAATATTAAAGTTGTGTACCAAAAGTGATACGAGTTCAAAAGTTGTGGGACCAAAAGTGAAATTAATCCATGAATTTATTAAGGCAAATTGGTCCAACCCGTGCTAAGAATAGTCAACTGAAAGGGAGGACAGGAGGAGTGAATTATTGGTGTAAACGCGGAGCCGAAAGGACTACGAAATGCAGACTGTAATTGCCAAAAAAAGCCAAAGCTGATGAGGATGCTCTAATTGCCATCCACCAACTTTGTCTTTCCCATCAATATTCTTGCTTAATCATTCTTCTGTAATTTCAGTTCCCAAAAAAAAAAAAAAACACTCTCAAATTTGAAGTAAATCTTGAATTTCCTTATCTTTTGTTCTTCGCCATGGAACTGGTGGGCGCAGTTGTTGGTTCAGCTCTAACCGAGCCTTTTCGGTTTCTGTTTGGATCCATCTGTGCTAGAATCAAGAATGTTTTCAAGATCAATTCAAATTTGAAGGATCTTGAGAAAAACATGGAGTTTCTATTGGAACTCAAGCAACGCCTAGACGATGATGAGTTGCAGCAACGTCACTTACCAATAGTTCAAGTGCGAGATTGGTTAAAGAGGGTTGAAAAGTTGCAGAGTGAATTCGATTCTGTGCAGTTACCAATAACAACAAATGGCAATACAACTGGTGCCTCTGGTTGCGTGTGTTCACTTCGTTGCCGGTTGAGCAACAGAATAGCAAAAGGGCTTGTGGAAGTAAAACAACTGATTGGAGATGGCAGAGCCTTTGAGGACAGGATAGTGGGGGTTAATCCTGTGCCTAATGTTGAGTATATTCCGGCACCATTTGTCGAAGGTCAACCAACAGCAAAAAGAAATCTGGACAAGATGATGGGTTTGCTGAAGAGAAATGAAAAGGCTAAGACGATTGGGGTATGTGGCATGGGAGGAGCAGGGAAAACTACTTTAGTCAAGAATGTGAACAATGAACTCAGTAAGGACCCAAAAGAACAGGGTTTTGACATTATAATATGGGTCGTTGTGTCTCAAAATGCAACTGTAGAAAGCATCCAATCAAAAATTGCTGCGCGATTGAGTTTGGCAATGAATAAAGAAGAGAGTAAAGAGAGCGCAGCTAGTGGTTTGTACAAGAAACTTAAGGGAAAAAGATTTCTCTTAATTCTTGATGATATATGGGAAGGAATTGTTCTGAATGATGTTGGTATTCCTCCACTTAAAGACCATGATAGCAAGGTCATACTAACCACTCGAAATTTTCATGTATGCCAAGAAATGTCTACTGATATTGAGTTTGAAATAGGTCGTTTGAGTGATGAAGAAGCTTGGATGTTATTCTCTGAGAAAGTGGGGGAAGAAGTGGTGAATGACGACCAAATTATGCCATTGGCAAAGGCCATTGTTGAGGAATGCGATGGATTGCCCCTTGCACTTATCACAGTAGGGGCATCATTGAGGAAAAAGACAGAGGTTGCACTGTGGAAATGTGCATTAGACGCCTTGCAGAAATCAGAGCCTACTCATATTCATGGTGTTGAAGAAAAGGTCTATAAACCCCTCAAGTGGAGCTTTGATTCTTTAAGAGGTGAGCAGTTGAAATCTTGCTTTTTGTTTTGCTGCTTGTATCCGGAGGACTTTGAAATTGATACTGATAGACTAGTCCAATATTGGCTAGCTGAAGGTTTACTTGATGAGCAACAAAACTATGAGCAATTACAAAATGATGTTAAACGCATTGTTGACTGCTTAATAAGCTCTTGTTTGTTAGAAAAGTGTGCAGTAGACATTGATAAAGTGAAGATGCATGATGTAGTTCGTGATGTTGGGGTATGGATAGCAAAATCCTTAGAGGATTGGTGCAAATCTATTATTAGTCCTGGAATTAGCGAGGTGCAGATCTCACAGCAACTATTGAGTTGTTCTTACAAAGTGAAGAGAGTATCATTTATGGATAGCAAAATAGCATTTTTGCCAGTCTACAACATACAATGTCCAGAGACAACAACTTTGTTTCTGCAAGGTAACAAGGGCCTTCATGAAGTTCCTAACCAATTTTTACAAGGATTCCAAGTGTTAAGAACTTTGGACCTAAGTGAAAGCAATATCACGGTGTTACCTGACTCTCTTCTTCAACTTGGTGAACTTCGAGCTCTCATTTTAAGAAAATGCCAGTTACTACATGAGTTGCCTCCCATTGAAGCTTTGAGAAAACTTCAAATACTTGATTGTAGTGCTACTTCTATAGCTAAATTGCCAGTCGGCTTTGAAACGCTAGCAAACTTAAAGATATTACTCCTACGTGGAACTGCTAAGTTGAGAGAAATTCCTACTGGAATATTTTGCAAGTTACATAAGCTGGAGTGTCTGGTTATGGAATATTATGGTATGCAATGGGGAACTATGAATACAATTAAGGCAATTGCACCATTTGATGATTTGCTATGTCTAAATCAATTAATTGTCTTATGCATAGTCTTAAAAGATATTCCCTGTCTCACAACTCAGCATACTTCTTGGTTCAAAGGAATTAAAAAGTTCATATTTCATGTTAATTATTATCGGAAGTGGTATGGACCAATTACAAATGAAGTGGTTTTGAGATACCTTCATTTCTCAGGTGATGAAATGGTTGGGTTGTTGTTACTAAATGCTCATGAGTTTACTATTAAGGAATGTGAGAAAGTTGATCTCATGCTTGATAGCTTGGTTAGAAATAGTGCCAACCTTGGTCCCTTTGTTAACTTGAAGAGACTATATATCAAATATTGTTGCCTATTTGGGAAGCCATCATCCTTGGGGAGATGTGTTGAACAAACGGACTTGTTACCTAATTTAGAGGTCCTTATTTTCAAGGAGGTGAGCGGATTGGAAAGCCTTTCAAGTATCAGTAATTTTCTTGGACTACGTTTCACTAAGCTAAATCACATATATGTTGGTGACTGTGATGATTTGGAAAATCTACTAGTAATGGATGGTACTCCCCAAAAGCTTGAAAAAGTGGAAGAAGTCTGTATTGAGAGATGCAAGAAATTGACACAAGTGTTCAAGAACACACTTATGGACAGCATTGTTCCGAACCTTCGGACCCTGAAATTGCATACTCTTCCTGAACTAAAGGGAATATGCAATGCAAATGTATCATGGAAAAGTCTAGAACAACTTGAAGTGAGTAGGTGCAATATGTTGGGGAAATTGCCTCTTGCTATGCAAAGTGCAGAAAGTATTCAGTCTATACAGGGTGACCAAGATTGGTGGGATGCACTAGAATGGGATTCTGAAAATTTCAAAGAGCATCTACAGCCACACTTTAAACCAATCCCTTAAGGATGCAAAGGCTTCAGGCCACCTCAACATGGCTAAGGTATGTTCACCATGGTCCACTTTACTTTGGGGATCATAGGTCATTATTATAATACTATTGTTTGGTTAAAAGATATCATTGATCATGTTCTTTATTATAATAATACTATAAGTTCATTGAGATGAAATTAATTTGCATATATTATTCTTTTTTTATATATAAATAAAATCAATGTTACAAAATATATTATTTAAAATATCCCATTAAGATCTTTTGAATGATACTCATATTAATATATTTTGTGTCTTAGTTATTCATTGATGGACTTACAATATTGATATAATGAACCTTCTGCGTTATGAAAATGAACCTCCAGGATGTATTCTTCTAATTAATCTATTTTAGATTTTGTATTATGATGTAGTTGTATTATTAGTATAAATATTAACATTCAGTATTGTAAAAATGAACAACCAATTCAATTAATTTTGTTTGTATAAAAAGAAAAAAGTAAAATAAACTTCAGTTGAAAAAAAAAAAAAAGAAGAAAGAATTTAATTTAGTTTATCTTGCATGGTGTTTGAATGTTTTGAATATACTTGGTTGATCAGTTTATTGAAAAACAGCTTTTTTATGCTTATCATGCTCCAAAAAGTTTATCATTTTCTTGCTTAATGGTTGAGTAGTAATATTCATGGCATAATTTGCTAAACCCATTCATTATGCACTTGGGCCATTTGTCATTTACCTCTCTAAGAATTCTGTGCATTTAAATTCGTACATTCAATCGTTTACTATGGATTGACCTATAAATACCATGGAAAACTTCATTCAACCTTTTTTTTTTTTTTTTTTTTTTTTTTTATTGTCACGAGTTCTCACAGGCTTGCTTGTTTAATCCAGCAAGAACACATTCCTTGATAGATTATGCTATATGGACAATACCACTATGAATAGCGGAGCAACAGATTCTGAGATTCTTAGTTGTTTTGATAAAAATGCAGGTTGTAGGCTATATAATATGACTTCAAGAGCGAGAGATTTGAGCATCTGCACCGCACTGCCATCAGATTTCCAGAAACCAGATTCTTTAATTTTACTCCCCCGGGACAAAAAAAGCCAACCTGGTAGGCTTAGCAATAGACAGATAGGAGATACATATATAAACCAAAGCCTAAATGATTGCACATGCCGGAGTAACAAAGTGCAAACAATTGTAAGACTAAATGATTCCATTTTATTTATTTTCTTATTTTGACAGTCGTCATTGGTTATCTGTTCAATTCTGTTGGGCTGGCTCCAATTTTAGTAGGGTGGAGAAATTAATTTCTGTGTAGATTTGATAAACAATTCACAAGAAGAAGTTTGTCCTAAAGTTTTGGTTAGTGCAACTGCAGTTGGCTATTATGGTTTCATATTAAATTCTTTCGATTTCTTAAATTATAGAAGACCACATACAGTGTTCCAGTCTGATTTTCAAATTAAATCACAGGTACCAGTGAGACAAAACAAAATTAAAGTATTTGATGAGCAAAGTCCATCAGGAAACCATTACTTGGCCGATCGAGGTAATCCATTGAACACCCAAAACTGATTAAATTGGCATCCTTAGTCTTTCCTGTTAATTTGGAACCAACTTGATAATCTTTAAACACACATTTATCAGGTTTGTAGAGAATGGGAAGCGAGTGCTCTTAAAGTCACTTATCCGGATCGGCATTGTCCTTGGAAAAGATGGTGGTGCTTTAGGTGTGTTTCATGTATTTATTCAAATCCTATTAAGAAGATTGCGACCCTGTTTGATAAAATAGTTAGCCTATCAGTCAATTTTGGCACTACTAAGAGCTGTTTGACTTGGTATACGATTACTCCAAAATGTTAAAATTCAAAAATCTACTCAAAGTAGCTTTTTCAATCAGCTTTTTGAGGAGTCATTTTGTATATATCAGCTAATAGCTAACAGCTAATTTACCAAACACATTTTTAAAATAAGCTAATACTATCAACTAATTAAACCTACTAACCCAATCAGCTAACAATTAATAGTTGACAGCCATTTACCAAACACCCCCGTACATGCTCTGATATTTTGACATGTTCAGGCTTTTGCAAGGCTAGAAGTAGCTAGTACACATGTATGAAACACCGTTGTGAATACAAGAATGCCTTTGTTGAAAAGCATGGAGTAAAACTAGGACTTATGTCTGGGTTATCAAGGTGTGTGTGGATAAGAATTTGATTCTAAAATATTTAAGTATTTTCCAAATCCAGTCCTATGACAAAATGCATTTTTGCACTAATTTCAGCCTACAGTTAGTGCACTCCAGAATCAGCCCATAGTTAATACAGTTATAGATGGTGATGACACTATATACATTGACTACATAGACATCACTATAGCTGAACATTTCTTTTAATTCTATTGACTATGAGCTATAAATACTATCAAATTCCCATTATCCTTTTTCTCGTTCTTACACTCGTGTTATACCTGAGTTAATACACTAAAACTTGCACAAAATAGGAATAAACCTAATGATGTGAAAGTTTTGTAGGATAGCATTGTTGCCCGCTCTGAAAATTTACAGTTGGCTGCTAAAGCATAGCTTCTTACTCAGAGTGAGAGCCTTTTTTAAAATTTTAATTGCCATTGTTTTCCTGGCAATTAAATTTGAACCGTATTTTTATTAATTTGTGATTTCTTCGTACATGCCATTTGAAGAATTAATCAGCAGCAAAAGATCAAGCTAAGAACAATGTTCACCATGTTTATTGGAAGCAAAAACTCTGCAATGAAGTTGAATTGGAAGAAAAATGCCTTACTCATGTTCTGTTACAATCAGACACAAAAGAAAGAAAGAGAAGAGGCTTTATAACTGCCATAACTAACTAAGCATAGGAAAAGACAAAACTACCCTCTTGGCCTTTGAGACTAAACTCTGCCCTTGGCTCTTAGAAGGTAATTAAAATTGATCACTTCATCACCCCCCCCCCCCCCCCCCCCCCGTAAGCTGGAGCATGAATGTCTTGAAGGCCCAGCTTATCATGGAATTTGACAAATAAAGGCTTTGATAGAGCCTTGGTGAATCGATCTGCCAATTGTTTGTGAGATGGGATTCCTAGCAGTTTGATCACTCCATCCTGCACTTTCTGTCTAACAACATGGCAATCTATCTCTATATGCTTAGTTCTCTCATGGAAAACATGGTTTTCACCAATTGCAATAGCAGAAGTATTATCACAAAAGAGAGGAGTGGGGCTGTCAGTATTAACATGCAGATCTGCCAGCAGATACTTCAGCCATTGAATCTCACAAACTGTTGAGGCCATAGCTCTATATTCTGCCTCAGAGGATGATCTAGAGATGGTAGCTTGCTTCTTGGTTTTCCATGAGATAAGAGAGTCACCAAGATAGATGCAATAACCTGTGATGGATTTCCTGGATTCAGAACAAGTAGCCCAATCTGAGTCTGAAAATCCTTGCAAACTGAGCTGAGAGTTAGATGCAAAGTATAACCCCTTTCCAGGAGATCCTTTTAGGTACCTTAGGACCCTATGAGCAGCCATCAAATGTATGTCAGTTGGCTTGTCAACAAACTGACTTAACTGCTGAATGACATAAGAAATATCAGGTCTGGTATTGGTAAGGTATAGCAACTGTCCTACCAGCCTTCTAAATTTTTCAGGCTCATCAAGAAGAACTCTTTGTGTGCTTGTTAACTTCTGACCTGGAATGCATGGTATGGCAACTGGTTTGGCATCCAGAAAGCCATTCTCTTTTAAAATCTCCAGAGTGTATTTTCTCTGGCAAATGTTTAGCCCTGCAGTGTTTCTGAATGCTTCAATCCCCAAGAAATAATTCAACTCTCCCAAATCTTTTATCTTGAAAGATGCATCCAGAAATTATTTTAGTTCTTTAATCTCCATATCATCTGTTCCTGCCACAATGATATCATCCACATACACAAGGAGTGCAGTGAAAGACTGGAATGTAGACTTTGTGAATAGGGATGGATCAGCAGAAGATTGTGTGTAACCATTGTTTTGCAATGCCTTTGTCAGTTTTGCATTCCATTGTCTACTTGCCTGTTTCAAACCATATAAGGACCTCAATAACTTACACACTTGGTTTGGACTGCCCTTCTTAAATCCTGGAGGAAGGACCATATAAACTTCTTCATCTAGATCCCCATGTAAAAAAGCATTGTTGATGTCAAGTTGTTGGATATTCCATCCCTTTGCAACTGCCACTGCTAGAAAAGTTTTAATAGTGGTCATCCTAGCCACAGGAGAGAAAGTCTCTATATAATCCACTCCCAATTGTTGAGTATAGCCCTTTGCAACCAATCTAGCTTTGTATCTTTCTATTGATCCATCAGCTCTATGTTTCACCTTGTACACCCACTTACACCCAATTGGTGTTTTTCCATGGGGCAAGTCAGCCAAAATCCAAGTATTATTCTGCATTAAAGCTTTTATCTCAGTCTGCATTGCTTCCTTCCAGTGCTCAGATTGAATTGCCTCATTGTAAGACTGAGGTTCATGTGTGGAAGTGATTGATGCCACACAAGCTTTGTGTCTAGGGGATAACTGGTCACATGAAATAAACTTGTTTATAGGATGTGGAGAAGTCCTTATGCCTGAGTTGATTCCCATCATCAACTGGCAGTAATAATCATTCAGTTTAGAAGGCATAACTCTCTGCCTTGATGATCTTCTGGGCTGCATCTGATCCTCATTGTTTTGTGGAAGATCAGTATTGAGATCAATGCTAATGGTGTCACCATTCACCTCATTATTCTCAACAGGTGACATGTTTTCTATGTCAGTTGATGCTTCATCACTGTGCTCAATGTGAGAGCTGTGGATAATCTCATCCTCTGTGCTGCTATTGAGATTATCATTTAGACTAGTGTCAGGATAATAAATAGGGCTCCCCAACATCTGTTCTTCAAGAGGCATAGGAATTATGGGTAAACAAGGATGAAGACCACTGTCTTGATCATTTACCTTGTTCAGATCTTGCTTCTTGAAAGGAAAAATGTGTTCATAAAACTTAAC